GCAAACAATAATCCCTTGTGGCAATCACCAGGTGGTCAATGCAGTAAGACTTCCATAGAAAATTAAATGAGGTTAGTATATGGAAGAAACCAAAAGACAGAATGGCCAGATTATAATATGGAGAAAAGACAGACTTTGTAGAGAGACGATGGAACCAAAGTTTCATATGGCTCATTCAGAGTGATCACTCCACAAACACCGAGCTCTTTCAGCTGTGGAACATCAGATGGGAATGGAACAGCTCCCAGTAATATAAACTGTAGAAGTAAAATTATGAGAGCGAAGTATAAGCATAAGACACAGAACCAAATCCAGAAAACATACTTAGAGGAGTATCTACAAGAGATTCAACAAAGAAATGAAGACGATTTGACCAAAACATCAAAAGCAGCGCAATCTACATGACCAATGTATCAATTTTCATTGAATTGACACAAATCAGCTCAAAGAACAATGAAATTTTACCTCAGCAACTCGATCCCACCAGCGAAACTCAGTCTCGAGCTTATTCCTAACAACGTTGTAAATCAGAGTAGGATAAAACAAGGCACGAGCACCAACACCAACGAGTGCCCTCTTTGTAGTCAACACAATCACGTTTCCTCTGCTAACCAAAATCGCCTTATCTCCATCAGCAACGTGATCCTCAACCGATCTCTCCCCCTTCTCCTCCTCTTCCCTTTCTGTCAGTTCTTCGATATACATATTCCTCAGTCAAAGATCTAGAGATCCCAAAGCAATCTACTCTCGTCCCAAACCCTAATAATCACCAGTCTTTATATACACCAGACACGATTATTCACAAGACCATCAAAACACAAAACGAAAACTCCTAAATGGTTAATTATAGGATTCGAAGACAAAGCCAAGAAGAAAGTCTACACGTAATCGAAATCGCGATAAAGTCAAGCGGAAGCAATCTGAGAAATTTCGAATTCAAAATCTTCAGGGAAATCACCACCATATTTCGCCTGAACAAAACGATGATCCGATCAGACGCCGGCAACGACGAGACGGAGAAGACTCTGAAAAAATCCGATCACCGATAGATAGAAATCAAATCGCCAACGATCGAAGAGAGGAATCGAGAGCAAAGCCCTAAGAACAAGTTTCGAAATTTGGGGATCGAGAATTGATTCGGCTAATCTCTACTCAACCTTAGGTTTCTCTTAAAGAGAGGAGAACCCAAAAAAGAAGATCTCAGTGTCTCAAAGAGGAGGGTTTTCTAAACTGACAAGCGTATCACCTCTTATAAGAAGCTTTAGGTGAAAGTCAATGCTTTGTTGACACGTGTAATTGCGATCTATGGAGAAAGAGTCATGCGTCGCACAAGGCCCGGATAACATTAGGATTATCCTTTCTTTAACTCCTTTTTTTTTTTTGGATAAGATCCTTTCTTTAATCTACATATACATTTGTGGAAGCCCCCTTGGCCCATTGGTTGACCAAGGGTTGATTAATGCTTCTACACCAAGAGGTCTGGGGTTCGAGTCCCAGATATTGCGATTTATTAACAAATTTGCATATTAATGGAGGCAAGTGTGCAGGAGATCTCCAGCGATGTACAATTATAGCCGTTCGCCAGGATTCTACGCAGAGAAGGAAGTGTCGCCAGGTCGTGGATCATTGAAGGTATTCATCAAGATTATGAAAGAAGGAAGTGTAGTCTGTCGTGGATCTAGTAAGGGTCGGAAGGAATTGTCAGTTGTAGAATCGTCTATGTAACAGTTCTCATAATTTGCAATTAATAATAAATCTAGACGACAAAAAAAAAAAATCTACATATACATTTTTATAGTACATTTTTGCTTTAATTCTTTTGGATCCGGGTTTGACCCGGTTTTAGTCTATTCGGATCTTGGATAAGCAATTTTAGGGATGTTGTCTTAATTTCAAACTGATAAATGAAGTCATGTTGTCTTTAATTCATCTACATATTCTTATACTATTTCCATATTAATCATCTCCGGATACTTAGCATTTACCATTCGCAGAATTCAGTTTGTTATTATTACCTAAACTAATTGCCACATTAATCGTAACTTAATAACTTTATTCTCTAATTGATTTCGAATATATTCACAATCTAAACTAATTAATATCACATATCTTATCTCATCTATTGTTCCTTTAAATTCTACTATACAATCTTTTAAACAATTCAAAGAAAGAGTGGTTGGATTAAAATCCAAACTAATAACAAAACAAAATCACAAAAATCATTTTAAATCTTTTCATATTAACTTTACATAAAACACTAACATTTCTTTTTAACAGATCAATTAGCAATAATCACGTTGATCTTAATTCATTAATTATTTGCCTAAACAACTAACTGAATTTTATACAACTGTTATAAAAATTTTAGGAAAAATTAATCACTTACTATAAATACATTTTAAAAACGTTTAATGCTCAAATCTTTAGTTAAGATTTTGGAAAGAATAATAATTTGAAAATCAATTTCTACTCAGTTTAGCAAATAATTTATTTTTATTCATTGACATAAATATAGATTACTTAAAATAGATCGTAACAATATTTAATTTGATTTGTTTATTTAATTTCACCCATATAATTCTTAATTTAATTTGTTTATTTTTTCTTGCAGGAAAGTAGAAGTTTATAGCAATCCTCTTTTGATTTGATCTCATTTTTACTACTTAAACAAGGATCAACAATAGGAATGTTTTAAAAACAAAATATATATGTAATTTGATCACATTTATATAATAATTTTATGAATTTACTTAGAAAAAGTTTAACTTTATTAAACGTTTTAAATATGTATAATATTAAAACTTTTATGAAGTTTCAAATATTATAAATATTTGAATTTTATAAGAATTTATAAGAAGTTTAAATATTATAAATATTTATAAAATATATTAATACATGACAGTATACTACGGGTGAAATCCTAAATATAACAATCAAAATACAATTATGAAGTTTGGGTCGATATTAAAACTTTTATGAAGTTTCAACTATTATAAATATTTGAACTTTATACGAATTTATAAGAAGTTTAAATATTATAAATATTTATAAAAAATATTAATACGAGACGGTATACTACGGGTGAAATCCTAAATATAACAATCAAAATATAATTATGAAGTTTGGGTTGATATTAAAACTTTTATGAAGTTTCAAGTATTATAAATATTTGAACTTTATAATAAAATGACAAAATGACGTTTAATTTCACGGGACAGAGTTATATGATGAGACGGGTTTTGGTCGATATTAATATGAGATGATATACTACGGGTAAAATCCTAGAATTAACAATCTAAATACAATTATACAATCTTAAACACTAAACAAAACAAGACAAACAATATTAATAAAATAAATACAATTTAAAATTTCTAATTATTAGTTATAAAATATTGTCCCAAGGTGTACTATACAGTAGCATATATTTATAGATCATCTTAAAAAAAATATTCAATTTTTTTATTTAATAAAAATATAGACCCGCGGTGTACCGCGGGTTAACATCTAGTTCTTAACAAATCTTTTGACAAAATTTGATTTTAGATGATGCGGATCAACATTAAACTAAGGATACATAATTATAACATGATTTAATTACAGTTCTGTTGATCTAAAACCGTCCCGACTTATTTTATGAGTGAGCGAATCCGATAAAAAAAAAATTAGTTTACAGTCGTTTAAAAAAAAAAATTAGTTTACAGAATTTTTAATTGATTGTGACACCTAATTAAAAGAATGTGGTTCAAGTTTTTACAAAGAAAATTAATTTATAAATTTTCAGAAAAAAATTACTTAACGTACTTTTGAAATAAAAGTAATCTGTGTTTTTAATGTTTTAAAGTCGGAAAAAATTACTCCTCAATAAGAATTTCGAGTAAAATTTTTTTTACAAATAGGCTATTTAGGATCGACTGATTTGAAGTCATTTTGACCCAACAAAAAAGAAAAAGTGTCAACAAAAACTCAAAAGTAGCTGAGCAAAATATGCCCAGCCCAGCCCAGCCCATGAGAGTGTAGTAATGGCAAATATGTAGATGATTTTTTTTATCCAAAATCTTTATCATAAAAAAATGTAACGTGTTTCTTTAGAATCCGATATAAATGATAAATACTTGAACTTTCTATAACCAATTTTTTTTTACCTTTATTACATCAGTAATCTCTCATTCTGTTCTAACTTCTAATCCTAAAAATAGCAAAAAATCCTCTGTTTTTATGTATCGATTTCTCTCTTGTTGAATCGCCAAAGGTAGGAGCTTTTTAGTGGCTTCTCTTTGATTTATCCATTTTTTTCACACACTCGAGAATCTGAAACAATAGAGGGAATAATGGAGAGAGTTGATCACCTTGCTGATGAGAGGAACAAAGCTGAGTTCAACGTCGACGATATGAAGATCGTCTGGGCCGGTTCCCGCCACGCTTTCGACGTTTCAAATCGCATTTCTCGCCTCGTCGCCAATGATCCGGTAAATTTTTTCCTACCTCCTTAATCGTTTTCTCTGTTTTTCCGGTGAATGTGAATTTTTGCATTTTTGTCATGTTAGATCTTTGAGAAAAGCAAAAGAGCAGTAATGAGAAGGAAAGAGTTATTCAAGAACACGTTGAGAAAAAGTGTTCACGCTTGGAAGATGATTAACGAGCTTCGTCTCTCTGATGAGGAAGGAATCAAATTAAGATCTTTCATGGATCAACCAGGCTTCTTGGATCTGCATTGGGTATTACACAAAATTTTCTATTTCTTTTTGGGTGATTTATGAAACTTTTGATGGTGAAATGGTTTTGTGGTGGATATAGGGAATGTTTGTGCCTGCACTTAAAGGACAAGGCACAGAAGAACAGCAACACAAGTGGTTGTCTCTAGCTAATAAGATGCAGATAATTGGATGTTATGCTCAAACTGAGCTTGGTCATGGCTCTAATGTTCAAGGACTTGAGACAACCGCCACTTTCGATCCAAAGACAGACCAGTTTATCATTCACAGTCCAACTCAGACATCATCTAAAGTATGGGGAAGAGATAGATCATTATCTCGTTGAACTATGAGTCTTTAAGTTGTGTCTTAATTTTGTTTTGTTTGAAATATATAGTGGTGGCCTGGTGGACTAGGAAAAGTTTCTACTCATGCTGTTGTTTATGCTCGTCTAATAACCAATGGCAAAGACCATGGTGTCCATGGTAAGGAAAGAATTTCTTATTCAATTTTTTTGTATATAATCATCAGTAGTATTGATTAATAAGATCTTTCTCTTTTTTCAGGATTCATCGTGCAGCTGCGTAGTTTGGATGATCATTCTCCGCTTCCAGGTATAACCGTTGGTGATATCGGAATGAAGTTTGGAAACGGGGCATATAACTCAATGGACAATGGTTTTCTTATGTTTGATCATTTTCGTATTCCTAGAGATCAAATGCTCATGAGGTCCTCTCTCTTTGGCCTTTAATGTGAATAAGCCATATACTCATATATATCCTAAAAAGAAACCGATTTATGGTTCAATATTTTTCTATTTATAGACTGTCAAAAGTTACAAGAGAAGGAAAATATGTAGCATCAGATGTTCCAAGGCAATTGGTGTATGGTACTATGGTGTATGTGAGACAGTCTATTGTGTCAAATGCTTCCACCGCGCTGGCTCGGGCGGTCTGCATTGCTACAAGGTACAGTGCTGTTCGAAGGCAGTTTGGCTCACAGGATGGTGGAATTGAGACACAGGTACTCCTGTAAATCCCACTATTCATTATAACTATGGGACAAAAATGTTTTCTATAACTTATTTAAGTAAGAATCCAATCTCTAGATGGAGGATGGTCATGACCATAGAGAAAACATATTGACGTTGTTATAAATGGCAGGTGATTGATTATAAAACACAGCAGAACAGATTGTTTCCTCTGCTAGCATCTGCATATGCATTTCGATTTGTAGGGGAGTGGCTGAAATGGCTCTACACCGAT